TCTTTCCCTGTCCTTATTTCTGTAATTGTGCTGATACATATTTTTGAGATGTTTTTCCACTCTTTCTTTACTTCATCTTCTGGTTTTGTTGTGCTTTCTTCCATGTTTTTTCATTTTCTTGACCACCTTGTGTTGCCATCTCTTTATATACATTCATTTGCATGTCCATCTTCCTTTCTGTTTTATTCCCTCCTCCCAACCTTCTTCCTTTTCACAGCATTGGAACACGGGAGGTAGTCACCCAGAAGAACTTGAGTGGCTTGGTGCCCATCCGAGATTTCAGACTAGATCCCAGCCTCCTCTACTCCATTCCTTTACTAGCTCTCAGCCCCAATTTACTGATTGTGTGGCTGTTTCTGAGCATAGCATACCTGGTGGCCAGATTACGTTGCAAGTGAAGATAAGGTTAAAAAAAAACCAAAAAGTGCTTGAATGTGTATTGCCACTTGGTACCCGCTGGACAAAGGAATGTGTCATAGCATTGTCTGCCAATAATTATTATTATGCCTTACAATTTTATGTTTCTATTGTACTAAACTGTAAATATACATCAAATTATTTTATCAAAAAGAATTGTATTGAAACTTTAAATTATTGTTCTGCTTTCAGTGCTTGTAACATAGTCTGACATTGGCCTGTTACCTCGTTACTTTAGCCGGCCTGAAGATCTCTTACCAAATATAGTTTTGTGTTACTTGTTTCATGTATTCCAGAGAAAGGAACTCTGTCTGAAAAGAATTTGTATCTTTTTGTATATTTAAAGTGTATGCTAATCTTGCCTTTCATTTTTACGAGGTATGAAGAGAAAAATAAAAACACGGGTGGGGTTTATAAGAAATTATAAGAAATTTATTTAAAGAAATAAACAAATTTCTACCTTCATTTCAAAGGATAATACCCAAATTACATTACTGAACAGTTTATAGAACCATAGTGTTGTTCCTTTCTCATGGTTAAGTATGTTCCAATAGACTAGTGTACCTACTCAAAAAAAAACTTGCGTTGCGCTGCATGCAGAATTATTTCATTCTATTTATAGATCTGCATTTTGTAATGTATTAAAGACATAAAGAGAATGACTTATGAGTAGGAAGAGGATGTGAGTGGCGTTAGCCTGCTAATGATCCATTATCCGTTTCAGGTGCTCTGTTACAGAACTTACTCTGAAACAGGGTCATTATCATTCTAGAAGTTAAAGATACTGGTCTTTAATCTTTCAGGCAAGAAAAGGGAGGTATCAGTTAGCTCTTCTAGTAGATGGGTTTGAGGTTTTCCATTGGGCTTTGTTTTAATTACACTAGACTAAATATTACTGTTACTTCCATGTTTCAGTGTTGGACAGCTTTAATAAATTAGAATGTTGATAGTGACTGTAAGAGATAAACGAATGAAGGTAGGTTAACATTTATTTAAGTGATGAGACTAAAGCAGCTTACCTAGTTTAATCACACAGAATAATTGCAGATGAAACTTGATCATCATTTATATCTAAAGTCAAACTGGGAGAGGCCTTTTTAAACCGGAAGATTTTGCTGATGCAGTGGTCTGGCAGAGCTTGTCAATAGCAATAGCTGATCAAAAAACCTAACCTCATTTAATGTAGTTTACTAAATTCATGAAGGAATTTACTTTGCTTGGTGCCTGAGATGAGATGACAGAAGACTGGGCTTCTGAGGAGAACTCTTCTAGTACTGTGATTTCTATTTTCTACTGTTATTATCTCGCTCAAAAAACATAGGTAGCTATAGCTTTTATTATCAATTTTAATGGAATTTGAAAGCTTCTGAGAGACGTAAGCTTAAAAAAAGAAAAAAAAACACAGAAAAAAAATTAAAACTAAATCCTAAATTTGGTGAACATTCTAACTGAAAAAAAAGTATGTGGTTATATTTGTGTCTTCATGAAATCAGACTGTACAGTACACTATCTCCTGGTATTTTTCCTCACTATTCTTCCAAATTTGTTTTTAAAAGGAAAAAAAGCAGAAACACTTATGTATATTTTTATATATATCTAAGCATGTATCATTTATTTTTAGTAGCAATGAATTTAGGTAAATCCTTACTGCTGGTGAGATTTAAAGTCGTAGTATGATGGTATTGGACATATCCATGTCCTGTGCTGATATCTAGTACCACTGTGTCTCTGTACAAATCATCTCTTCTTTCTGATTAAAACTGGTTCATTTGCTATGGGTACCAAAGTCTACCTGTTCACAGAGTGAACAAATGTCAGGTTGGACTGTGGCCTTGTTCTTGCAATGTGATGAGTGTCCTGGGTTCAGTCTAGCGAGGTGTGAAAGTAGCTCTAGTAGGCGTACCTCCACTGAACTCCCCGAGATTATTAATCTGTTTAAATAAAGCATGACGGCTTTGCTCATGACTATCATTAGGCCTGTAGTAAGACCACCCTTAAATTCATCTAGAATGAAAGCCTAGGCTTTTTGAAAACAATGTAGGTTTTTTACTTTTTTTCTTAAACTGTGGTGGGGACAAGTTGTCACCTTTCATTCTTTTTTATCTTGGTCTGTGCGTTCGTTCAGGCATTGGGATGTAAAATGCTGTAGTGCATACTGCTTATGTGCCTCCAGCAGGAGAAACATGGCACATGAAATGGTGTATGAAATACATCTTTGTCACCGTCTCTGTGGCCCACCTGTGCCATAGAGGGACATGTGGAATAATCAGATGCAGTGGAATGAATTATGAATAGAATTCTCCACTTTGGAGTGAAAATGCTCATCCGGCATCCCATACATGCTATTTAAACTTAGTGTTTTTATTAGTACTCTGAACTACAATGTGGGCAAAGTTTTGATTAATCTATTTGACTGCAACAACCTGTTGGGGGGGTTCTGTAAAGCAGAAAACAATGCCATAAAAATAGCGTCATCTTGTATGATCCATTCTATGAAAGGTGTGTGCTCCGGAGACAAATTTCAAACTTAAACTATTTCTTAGAGCAAAGTGTTGCAAAACATGACATTTCCACCATGAGATGATGTACTGTACACCAAGTTCTAGTATTAAATCATTGTTCAGGTTTCAGTTCTCTATCAGGGAAAGACATTCTCCTGCAAGCCTGAACTGATTTATAATGTATATTTAAAAGATAGTGCTTCCTCTTTGTACGTCTATTTTTGGATCTAATCAAAGGAACTCTGAGGTTGATTTACAAGTGTAAAAGAAGCCTTACAGCTGGAGTAGTTTTTTATTGTAGCACGGAACCTCTTTGTAATGTGGGGCAGTTGCACCAAAACATTGGATAACAAATCAATTCTGCACAGCTTTGTTTCATTGGGGTGATGACTGGCAATGCAGCCAATCTTTTTTGCACCCACACAAAGCTGCTATTTCATAATTAGGATTTTTTTCTTTAGAATATGTTGGTCTTCAAGTCAATTTATGCATGCAGAGATAACTGGGAAGTCATTATTTTTGTTTCAGCTCTGATCTTTAAATAAGTACTGATAATACTGACATACAGGAACAATAAAATTACTTTAAAGCTCTTATTGAGAGATCACCAGTTTTTCTTTTTCAGCTTAATATACTAATAAATTAGCAGAACTGCTTTTAAGCAATCTCTTGGGATCCCTTGTGCAATGAAGTGGCAGGAGAACTCCACAGCAATGTACCCTGAAATACATGAAACCGTCGTGAGAGAACTTTTTCAGTAGATGCACTGCTGCTTTTTTAGAAATGCAAAACTAGCAATCAGACATAGCATGTATCCATTCTGTGTGCTTCTTACTAGCATTGTATGATAAGTCATCATTTTTAATATTTGCCGTGGCAAATTAATTAAATGCTCATTAAATATAACCAACTTTTTGTTAATGCTATAAAATAACCAGTTCATTTCATCTTAGTTTAAGTCTTCTTTTTTTTTTTTTTCCCTTTTTACTGCTGTCATTTTTTGTGCTTGTTTTTTTTCCCCAGTGAGGGTTGTCGGCGAGAAAATACAATGAAGAATGTTGGATGTCGCAAGTATGCATTTAATTCCCTGCAACTGAAGGCTTTCCCAAAGTATTACAGGCCTCCAGAAGGAACTTATGGAAAAGTTGAAACATAACCATACTATGTCCTTTAATTGCTGTTCCATTAAAACATGTGGATACGCTCTAGATTAACACATGATTTTGTCATCCAGAACAGATAAATAACCTTTTTGTACGTTTCACTAGGTTATAGAGAGCATGTTACTTACAGAATTGGAATCTATAGTAACAATTATTCTGACACCTTAGCTTGAGAATAGTGTGATGACTCTCTGCCCATTTAAATAGCCTTCAGTGTATGTAAGATGAACAGATATTGTGCTACTTAATTATTACCTATACGCGAATAGCTAGGTACCCCCTGGATGGGCAAGGACTCTAGGAACGGCCTTTAGGCAGCTGTTTCACATAACGTCTTTTTATACTGAGTTGACTTGAGATTGAGCTTTTCATAATCTTTTTAAAACAGAGAGTAAAACTCAAAAGTTGTAAATAAAAAGGGATTGGATCCTAGACAGTCTAATAACTCTAGAATGCATTGTCACAATCAACAAACAGAAGTTTAACTTTAAAAAAAAAATCAGCACAATAAAAGCCAGGAGTATAAATTGGTTTACTGTATATAGGATGCCATCTTCATAGATGAAATTAACAATACGTAAAAGGCCAGGTATGTGAGGTCTAGTTTCTAGTTCTGTCCAAATAAAACAAATTTCTGTCATCTTCGGCAGATAAGGACTTGGGCACGCATCTTAACTGATTTTTTAAAATGTTTCAAATATGTAATGATGCTTAACCGTTAATGCCAGCAACAGTTCCCCCTCCAAACTATAAGGCAAGTGCAACAGGCAAGTGGGTAACATTGCACATGACGTGTTCAGTATGTTCCCTGGTATCGTATATTAATTAACAAAGTTTTACCCATGGCTTTTTATGTCACTTCTGGATTGTAAGCATTAGTATTGGGGGGTGGGAGGGGGGGTGTTACATTTTTTTGATTGGTGTTTGATATTTTTTTTCCATATAAATTTTGTATGTCATTATAAAAATGCTCAAAGTGCCCAATGCATCACCGTCACTCCATAACCCAAATTTGCTTCTGTTTACCTTTGGATTTTACCTGGGCAAGGTGTTCAGAATGCTGGGGGTGGAAGTATGACTGTTTTCAGTGTATTTCTGAGGAAGGTAGCGATGCCCCATGTTGATAGAAAGGAACTGCTCATGTGCTGCTGCTAAGGTGCGAGAACTGCAGATGTTCTGGCGTATGTCTAAGGTGATCAGTTTGATAGCATTTGGTTAAAAATGTTCAACAGATCTCCTTGGAAATAATCTCCCAAAGAATGCTTTTGGAGCTAAGATACCTTTTTAAAAAGCAGCTAAACATTAATATCCAAATTTTGACAGGATTAAATAATCTCTAGCTAGCTTCGTTCGGCACACTGTGCCCTTTCCTTCCTGGTTTCCAAGGCTGTAAACTTTAGAATAGAAAAATCTGCCCATTTATTCCTGTGAGAGTAGCAACAGCCAGGTAAGTATATGGCTGTTTTCTGATTTCTTTCTCCCTCTCACTGATGTTTGTCTGTGCTGTCACTGCTCTATCAATCAGTCATGCTCATTTTGCTCCCATATAGGTTTGGGGGTTACAGGTCTAGCAGTTTTTGCATTTTGCTTGTTGCAGTTTAACACTGAGCAGCACGTCACGAAGCCAGGTCAGAGAGTTCTGCTGAACTAGGTTGTTATCATTATTTCAGTCTCTCTAGGATAACAAAATACTGAATTCTGTGCAAAATCAGCGCAGGGTAGTACCTATCCCAGGTCTGAACAAATCATCTACAGTAGAACAGCCCCTTGGAAATGGTACAAACCCTGTTCACCAATTAATAAATGTTTATTTTATTTTATTTTTTGCTGATATGTAAACAAATGTATGGTGAAAACTTTTCAATGGGATCTCTTTAGATGTGTTGTTCCGTTAGTTCTGCTCAACCTTCACTCCTTCCTGGCCCATTATCAAATGCTACATTTATTTTTGTATAAATTATACTCTTTATATCCCTTAGTTTTTATGAGTTGATAATTTTATTTTGTATATTTCAAACATAGTTAATTATATTTTAAGTCCTGTATTGTTACACTAAAAACCTTCCAATGTTCTGCTTCAGAAGAAAACAAAAAGAGGTCTGTTGTAATAATTAGCAGAGCCACTGTCTTAGACTGTGGCCAACAATCATTGTATCTACTCTAGAGCTTAGCAATCCTTTATTTATTTTGTATACCGATGTAATCAGACAAAGTTGCCGAATTTTCTATGTGCATGGTTTTTGCTCACCTTTTTAAAGTGGTGGAATACCAGTCTCAAGTACTGCGTTATTTTGTTTAAAATACTCTGATTTCGGTATGCTTACATGTAAAACATTGTTATCCAGCTAATGTTTATATATACGACACTGTCAGTACATGCACATAGACGGGCTTGTTTAAAGGGCGCAATGAACAGTAGGATCTCGAGCAGTTCATCGAAACAGAAAAACTGTGAAACTTGAAATCTACATAGGACGCTTCACGAAGGTGAAGTAAGCTTTTCTGTTGCACAGGAGAGACAAATTTAAGGATTACTGTAAAATGAAGTTCTGTCTAATGTTCTTTTTTGAGTACATTTTTTAAATTATAAAACATACAAAGGTAAAAAAAGAAAACTGTTGCCAAGTATGTTCTGTGTATGTTCTGTGAAAGTACCTACAGCACAGTTGCCTTTTGTTTCATTTATACATGTAAAATTAATGTATAATACAACACTGTTCTGTCCCACCACAACTGTATTTGCCAAGCTTTGTGCATTGAAATATCTTTATTTATTTGTTTTTGGGCAGTATTAATATATCATAAACATATGGCTACTGTTTTATATATTCTAGTTCATCCAATCCACGTACGCTGTAAATGTGCTAGTCTTTAGGATGAAAATCAATAAAGAACTGACAGAATAACAAATGGTGACTTACCTTTAATGCGTTTGTGGTAAATTAAAATCAACGCTTTCAGGTTCCCTGACTTGATATGCTTTATCTGTTGGAGAATTTATTAAGTGAAGTTTTGTACGGAGATATTTTACACAGGTGCGCAAGTCAGGAGGTAGTTACTCCTAAGCCCTGCTAAAGTACAGCTGCTGTCAATTTTCTGTAGCTAAGTCAGGCACCAGCCTGTCCCACCTGCTATACATTTCAGCAGCAACAGTTAAACAAGGAAGCAGCATGAAATTTTTTTTTTTCCTCTTAATTTTATCTACTTTCTCCATGAATCTTCTAGAAGACCTTCCTGAGCTTCGTTCTCTGTTTTTCACTCTTCCTTCCATTGATAGAATTCCTTCTCTGCTGCTGCTTCCCCTTCAGCCAACTCATCCCTCCAGCAGCTTTAGTAGTTTTGCTACTTTTCAGCAGGGATAGGTTGTCATTGTTGATGTCATTTTGATTTCAGGTTAAATAAATTGCATATAATACTGTAACAGACAACAATCCAGAGCCTTCTGAAGAATAGAACATAAAAATATAATTCTGTTGTGACTGGATGTCTGAGAACTGCCAAATACAACTTTATTTGCATAGAAGAGGACTGTGGGCCACAGCTGGGGCTCAATGAATTAGTTTTTCTTGTTAGAAAGAAAAACAGTACCAGAAAAAAAAAAACCACCATGCTGCTTTCATTCAAAATGCAGAAAGAGAAGATGCTTGACAGGTGGGAATTCCTAAATTGCAAAAGCAAAATACATATACATACATGTGCGTACATATACGTATCTGTATTTCAAAATTTTTTAATTGGTATCAAAAAAGTATCTACCAGGGTTCCTTTTGATTTAAGAAGGTGAGGTGTTTAAAAGATGGTTGACAGTTTAACATCTTTAGAAGGCATTCTGAGCTATTAGAGAAGTTGTCACTTGTCAGCAGCTGTCATACACGTCCCCATGAAGATTCCTCCATTCAAAACCCAGGGCGACTCGACACCGGGTTGCCTGTGGAACTGTGGCGGTGTGAGGGGCACGTGCGTGTCCGTGGGTTGTACGTGATGCTGTGGGGAGCCGCTGGGAGCAGCAGTGGCGGTGTGCTTTGGTGTGGGACCACAACACGTTCCGTCTCTTCGCCATGACTTTTGCTGTACGACAGCCCCGGGCAGGACCTGAAGCCCTGGAACAGCCTTCTGCATGCAGGCGCTGGCTGCGCTTCAGAAAGGCTTACCTGGTGTTGCACATGTGATGTCAGAAGGACTCTGACAGCAGAGAGGAAATTTTAATAGAGGCAACACAGAAATTCATGAAATAATAGAACACCCAGAAGAATACAACAAAAAATAGCAAGCCACTTGTTTAAACCAGAAACAGAGTCCTCATCAGAAGAAATTGTAGGTCATTTTGGTGACCCAGAGTAAGGTTTTCCAGTGTTTTTCAGTTTGTGAATTCCTAAACAATTCTAAGACCCACCCCAGAAATTTTGTACCTGTATATTGTTGCAAAGTACCTGTGGGTTTAAAATAACTCAACAGCAAACTCTTTTTCTCACAATTTTAAATGTCAGGTGAACTTCCTGCTCCCCATTAATGAAATATTTTGCCCATTGCAGCTGACTCCCTTTGGCAGCAGGATGGTGACGTGTGGAACTGTGTCCTACTTTACTCGATAGTGTCCAACGTGATCAGTTGATGGCATAAAAACACAAGTTTGTGAGAGCCTCGTATCCCTGCCAAGGATCCCATTTTTTCCTAAGTCGTGCCAATATTAAGTTGCGTGTTATTTGCCAGTCTGGTGCTATAATTTCTGATGGTTTTTGTATTCTGCACAGACTTCAGCATCAAGAAGTTCTTCATTTTTGTGGTGGCCATGGTATTTGTGCATATACACTAAGTCTTTTGAATCTAAAGTTCTGCAACTCTGTATTTTACAGATTTTACAGCGTAAGGAACGTACTGTACATCGCTTAGTGTAATTTGTTGTAAAGTTTTAGTCCTTGCTGTCAAAATACTTGAGATAATGTGCTGTTTGTTACCTATGTGTATCGTTTTGTACCTAGCCCCAAATCACCCGGCATGTTGACGGTTCCTGAAGGCACAGGGTGGAGAAGCCTTACCAGTTGTTTCCAACAGTAAGAGCAGCTGTGACTCCAGAGCAGATTGCTCGGCCTCAAGTTGGTCACTGCCCATCAGGCTCACTGCACCTCTTGGTATTCATAAAGTCGAAAAGTTAAAAATGAGAGATTACAGTGGCCGAGGGGCACGGCAGCACCTGGAACATCAACAGATGACACCGTGGCTGAAATCGCTGATCTCGGGGCTGGGCAAATGGATTTGCTTGCTTAGTGCTCCCGTCAGGGTCGCCAGAAACCTTTCCTGCAGGTTTCTGCACAGGGATTCCTGGCAAAAACCTTTGGGAGGGCGTTGGGAAGTACGTCCCGAGGGGATGGTGGGGAGAAGTTTTAGAAAATTGTCCATCTGATTAGAAGTTTTAATGACAAGGACTATAGACCGGGAATACAAAGAAGTTACGTATCCACAGGACCTCCAGATCAGCCCCGATTCTG